AGCACTGAAGGGATGGGGAAATCGGTCAGTTCCGGCTTCTTATTTTTACCATCTTAAGTCTAGTTCTCCACGTTTCCACATCAGTTTGCATTTTTTTAAAAAACAAAACCTTGTGAAAATTCAACAGCATTTAAGTGAAAATTCAACCTAATATACACAATTCTTTTGCAAGCAATTTCCCCAAATAAAAATGTACTTTTGTATGTTATTTTCAAAGACACAGGCATCACTTTGCACAGTATACCTTGGCACACGTTATCCAGTCAGAGAACTGCATTGCAAAATTCAGAGAATTGCAAATTTCTACGTAAGAGTATGCTTCAGTTTGTGCAATGTTTTGGAAAGTGCAAACTAGGTAAGTTTTTCTTTAAATGCAAGCTGGATTTCATTTCTCCCCAACCCCTAGCAGAACCCCCTGTTTGCAACAAAACACAGAGACTGTAGTAAGGGTGAACAGAGAAGCCTACTTCCAGTCTATGAAAGTTTAATATGTTTTATCCCTATACTCTGATATCTCTCTCTCTCTCTCTCTCTCTCTCTCTCACACACACACACACACAGTGCATGAAAATTTGCATTTCACTTGTACACATTTTTAAGTGCACTGAAGAATATTGAAGAACGCAAAATCAGGAAGATGAACTGCTCCTTGAGGTGGGTGTGTAAGGTTGGCTCACTGGAAAAAACAAACTAAACAAAAATATCCAGGATCTTGAGGCTGTGTAGCTCATTGGTAGACTACATCCCTGATGGATGTGGGTTCGTTCCTTCCAGTTATGGAACCTCAAATTTGCAGGACTCTTCTGCCCAACATCACGGACAGCCACTGTGAATCATAGGAGCCAAATCCCAGGGGCCAAGGGCTCTTCGGGGGGGGCAAATTAAATATTTGAGAGGGCTGCCCCCCTCCAAGATTGATGGACATTGCCATTCAAATGGTGTGCATGTGCCACATCATGTGATCGATTATGTGGGGTGGGGCTTAGCTCTCCCCCCCCACAGTATTTTATTCAAGTTGTCACCTCTGCTGTGAATCAACAGAGACTAAACATAAGAAAAGCTTGCTTGATCAGGCCTATCTGGTCCAGCATCTGGTTCCCACAGTGGCCAGCCAGATGCCTGTGGGATGCCTGCAAGCAGGACACGAGTGCAAAAGCTCTCCCCACTTGCAATTGCCAGCAACTGGTGTTGAGAAGCATACCACCTCCAACAGCTAAAGCAGAACACGGTCATGATGGCTGCTAGCCTTATCAATGGGTTAGATGGACCAACAGCCTTGACTCTGTGTAAACCAGTTTCCTGTTCTCACTGGGGGCATGCATTCATCTATCAAAACCGACAGTAAATAAATGGAAGCCAATACCACAAGTAAAGGAATTGTCAAATTGTTTGGCAGATGTTATGCAGCCTCCCTATATACTGGTTCCCAACCTGGTGCCCTCCATATGCTGCTGGACTGCAACCCCCATCGCCTCTGACAGCTGACTATGCTTGCTGGGACCAATGGGTGTTGGAGTCTAACTATATCTGGAGGGCCAAAAGGTTCCCCACATCTGGGCTACCTGATCATTTCCTGATTGGAGGTTCTGCACAGCAGCATAATGTCAGCACCAACACACACAGGGTGGGGAGCCCGGCTGGCCAATGCAGCCCTTAGCAAGTGGAGAGGAGAGGAGTATTGGGTTTGGGCCACACTGGGGTCGCCTGTGTAGGGTTGCCTTGTTTGTCCCCCCTCAAAAACTGTAACCCCCCCCCCCTGTGCCCCTGATTCTGCAGACAGTATCTGGGACCTGCTGCATACAAGCCATGTGTTCTCGCACTGAGCAACAGCCTTTTCCCATAGTGTAGAAATCAGGTGGTCCATGCCTGGAGAGGCTCTATGTGGAGTCTGTATTCTGTGGGCCCCCCTTACAGCTTCCATAGTGTGTTCCTTGAATTTCTCACTTCACTGTTACTGAATGGGTTGTGTACAAACACAGAAACACACACACACACACACACACACACACACACACACACAGCACTTCTTGGGAACACCCCCTCCTAAAAAAAAATAAAAAAATCAGCACAATTTTGAAATGAGTGCTTAGAATCAATGCAGTTTTTAAAAGTCCCACCTGCCATTTCATTGAAAATGGCACCCAATTGTATTCAAAAAGACAAAAGCTGCTCCTCGATCTCAGGAACCACCGTGTAAAATTTGGGTATGATGTCTTAGGTGGTTCAGATGCATAGCCTACAGACAAACAATGCACATATTTATGTATCTACACAAACACACACACACACACACACACAATGGTATGAACTAGTATTCTGCACTTGAGCAATAGAATTATAGAAGTATTGCCAAAAATAAGGCACCTGAAAGTGATGGGCCTGGATTTTCCATCTTCCTGTGACCCTCAAGCGCCTATAACCATCTTCATGTAACCTTGTCTCCCTCCCCAATGCCGCCCCGCGTAATGGATTTCTTTAAATTAATAATGCGTAAAAGGAGATTTACGCTGCCGTGCTAAAATATTGTTTTTTTTGCCTTTTATTCATGCATTTGTCACTGTAGTCTCTAATAGAGGTGTTCAGCCTGGGGATAAATAATGAAGAGGCAGGAGTGGGGAGTCTGTCATAATCCAGAGGCATTTGCAAATTCATCACCAATATTCTTTGAGAAGGTAGGAAAGAAGGAGGTGAAAAATATGCCGCACGGCTAATATATCTCATTGATTTTCCCTTTCCCATTTATTTTGAGAGCCCACTTTGAGCTATGATAGAATGTGGATCCTCGAAATAGCCATTGCTTTTAAAAGACAAGGCTGGAACAGCTTCCATCAGGATCTCGGCAGACTTCTGGCAAAGGGGCGAATCTAAAACACACACACACACACACACACACACACACACACACTGTAAGCAAGGGGTGCTCAGTTGTGGTTCCATTTGCTTTTGCTGATAATTTAATTGCTGCAAATGCCAAGAGGGAAGGGAGGTCTTTGCCCAGCCATTTCCCTGCAAAGTAACTTAAAACATGGTTTTCTCTTGCTTGTTTGTTTTTGCCAAACTCGAAATAGCAATGGAACAGAAAAGAATCTGAACCAATTTAATTCGCTTTTAGCTCCAGCCCAGAAAAGGAAAACCAAAATGATCAAGGGGATGGGGCAGCTCCTTAACGAGGAATATGGATGGGTTACTGTCAGCTTCTCATTTTTCCAATCTTCCCTTTAGTTCTCCACATTTCCATCTCAGTTTGCAAATTCTTCTTTTTAAATCCTCGTGAAGTAGCATTGTAGTTCAAATAGCTCCTAACATAGACACTTTTGCAGGAAATTTCCCCTAATAAAGATGTATTAATGTATGCGCTTTCCTTCCCACATTCCCTAGTATTTCCTTCCCACATTCCCACATTCCCTAGTATATGAATTCCCCTCTCCCCTACACATTATTTGGTTGAAGACCTGCATTGCAAAATTCGGAGAACCGCAGATTTTGAAAGCTGCTTGTGTTTAGCTTTGTGTATTGTTTCAGGAGGTGCAAGTTTGGCAGATTCATCTTTAATTGAGAAGTGAACTGAATTTTCCCCCGTCTCCGATGAAGAAAGGGGTACAATGTTTGGAGCTTTATAAGTTTGTTATGGGGTGGGGATTGAGTAAGGGGAGGACATGACAGAGGCATACAGAATTACACATGGCTTTGAAAAAGTGGACAGGGACTTCTCCCTCTTTCACAATACACAAACTTAAGAGTCGTCGAATGAATGTAAAGGGTGGGGAATTCAAAACAGATAACATGAAGCATGCACTCTTCACAGAGTGTGTGGCTAAACTATGGGATACACCATTGCAAGCTGTAGCAATGGAATATTTAAAGAAATATTATCGTATGATGAATTTGCAATCAGGATTTGAACTATGAGCAGCAGAAGGAATTAGAGATCATTGTATGGCGGGTAAGATTTAAGAGAGAGATTCCAGGGTGCAGCAAGGGGGAGAAGTAACAAACACTATGGAAAACAGGAGGAGAAGTTGATAAAATGAAAGAGGTCCAGAGGGTGGCAACACAAGAACAGGCTTTCTCTGCAGTGGCTCCCTGTCTGTGGAATACTCTCCCCAGGGAAGTTCACCTGGCGCCTTCATTATACACCTTTAGGTGCCAGGTAAAAACGTTCCTTTTTAACTAGGCCTTTGGTTGATCTTATTGACATCCAACACCCTTTTAGAAGATGGCTTTGGGGGGGGTTATTGCTTTTCGTTTGATTTTATATGTTGTGGTCTTGTTGTGAACTGCCCCGAGACCTCTGGGTATAGGGTGGTGTATTAGTTGAATAACAGAATGATGGTGGTGGCGGTGATATTTTGCTGTGTGTATGTGAAATTTTTGAAATTTAATGAAATATAAACGGGGTGGGGGTGGGGACAGTTGTAGTAATGGCCTCGGTCCAGTATATCTGAAGGAGCATCTCCACCCCCATCATTCTACCCAGACACTGAGGTCCAGCACTGAGGGCCTTCTGGCAGTTCCCTCACTGTGAGAAGCCAAGTTACAGGGAACCAGGCAGAGGGCCTTCTCGGTAGTGGCACCCACCCTGTGGAATGCCCTCCCACCAGATGTCAAAGAGAACAACAACTACCAGACTTTTAGAAGACATCTGAAGGCAGCCCTGTTTAGGGAAGCTTTTAATGTTTAATAGGTTCTGGTATTTTAGTGTTTTGTTGGAAGCCGCCCAGAGTGACTGGGGAAGCCCAGCCGGATGGGTGGGATATAAATAATAATTTATTATTATTATTATTGTACCAGCTTGGTTAGTTTTAAAAGCCAATTAGAAAAAAAGAATCATGGAGGATAAGGTGACCAGTGGCTACCAATCATGATGTCTATATGTTACTTAGGAGCATAGGATGCAGTCTTATACAAAGTTAGATCATCAATGCATCTAGCTCCATATTGTCTACACAGGCAGCAGCAGGTCTCCAGTAATTCAAACCTGAGCCTCTCCCAGCTCTAGCTGGAGATGCCAGGGATTGAACCTGGGACCTTCTGAATGCAAAGCAGATGCCCTATTACTCTGTTCCCCCAAAGATACTTGCAGACTCAGAGGCAGAATGCATCTGGATGCAAACACCTTAGCCTTAGATGGCCTGGTCCCATGAAGTTTAAGATTGGCAAGCAGCCTTTCATGCCAGATCCACTCCTTTCTTGAAGAGTGGAAGTCCTGAAAGGGGCTGGCCTCTTGATGGGAACCCAGCACTCTCCCTGCCAGTTAGGTCAACATTTTGGATGCAGAGGCCTGGCATGGAGGGTGGGGATTTGACTCCTCAGTGGGTACAAAGGTGTCTAGAGGTCCTGATTCAGAGGTTTCTGGCTCAAAACGCCAGGTTGCTTTGCAGAAGCTTTGCCTCCAGCACAGACCCAACCGATCTGGCCAGCTGCATCTCATCTAAGTCACAATTCCAGGCTGATATTCAGGGTTCAGATAAGGATTTGAAAGCAAAGAGACCCAGGGACTGCAAGATCTGATGCAGGTGCAGGAATGAATGAACTGCCTTATTAATTCCCTCTCCCTCAAAGTTCCACAATAGGCTAAAATCTTGGAAGAAAGCAGTACAGTAAAGGTAAAGGGACCCCTGACAGTTAAGTCCAGTCGTAAACAACTCTGGGGTTGCGGCGCTCATCTTGCTTTACTGGCCGAGGGAGCCGGTGTTTGTCCACAGACAGTTTTTCCAGATCATGTGGCCAGCCTGACTTAGCCGCTTCTGGCGAAACCAGAGCAGTGCATGGAAATGCCGTTAACCTTCCTGCCACAGTGGTACCTATTTATCTACTTGCACTGGTGTGCTTTCGAACTGCTAGGTGGGCAGGAGCTGGGACAGAGCAACAGGAGCTCACCCTGTTGCAGGGACTGGAACCAGCGACCTTCCGATCGGGAAGCCCTAGGCTCAGTGGTTTAGACCACAGCGCCACTCATGTTCCAGCTAAGGGGTACAGCTGTGTTTTCCGAATGCAGAGGGTCTCCGGTTTGATCCAAGGGAGCAAGTAACATGAAAGGCCTCTCTCTGCTTGAGATCAAGAAGACTTGCTAACAGGCAGAGGAGAGGACATTCTAAAGTGCTAGTTGAACAAGTAGCCTGATGACCTGCTGTAAGCCTGCTTCTCATGTTCCTAAACTGCATCTCCTCCTCTCCCATGCTTGCCCCCTTTTAATGCTCCAGTCCTGTTTGTTTCCCTCCAAGGTTTGGAGAGACTGGATTTCCCCCCCCCTTTCTTTTTTCAGAAATCTTGCGCTCTGATCTCCAGCGTAATGAGCTGTTTCTCGGGGCTTGTGCTGCACCTCGCTCCCCGAGAGGAAACGCGGCTTGTATCGAGAGAGGAAGGAAAAAGGAAAACAGATGGGAAGGGCACAGAATTGGAACAAGTGCATTGGCCAACAATAAAACAGGTTCCTTTGGCTTCGGAACAACAGAAAGCGCCTGCGAAAATCTGTACACAATGCGAGCCCAGACAACAAAGCTGAAAAGCAAAATAATTCTGTGAACCCAGAGCACAGCCACTTTCTGTAAGGAGAGATGGTAATCGGCAGTCGTGCTTTCTATTGATCGCATGATGCAAAGCCAAGACTCTAAGGGTTGGTGTGTGCTGGGGTTCCCCCCCTCTCTCTTGGTCCCCCTTTGAAAATTATTGTTATAAATCCACTACCAGGAGAGGAAGGGAAAAGAGCTCAGCCAGAGCTGAAAATGCCCAGTGCCAGCAGGTACTCTGTCCAATGTGCCAGTTCGATATGATTAATTTAATTTGCTGGCAACTATTCACATTCGATCTGCCTAAAACACTAGATGAGTGTGTGTGTGTGTGTGTGTGTGTGTGTGTGTGTGTGTGTAAGCTATTCTACCTAAGCTATTCTATCTTGTGTTTGTGCATGTTGCATTTAGCATCAAATGGTGGCCAAGCAAAGACATTGAGTTCGCCCGATTCAAAAGAATATTGGAAATATAAGTTTGCACAAATAACGTGGGATAAGGCCCTCTGTCACCCTGGAGCAAAAAATCCACTTTTAAAAAAGGAAAATGTCCTTTTGAAGTTATTAAAGCAATGGGGAAATTCACTGAAAAGTGTGGGATGAGCAAATGGATAAGGTGGAGATGTATAAACACCACACAAACAAGCCAGAATCAGTGCTCACTGTCTTATAACCTTTGCACAAATGAATCAGAGTAGTAAATGCCGGACATAGTCTAACCACTGTGTAAGCTTTGTGTAAGCAAATCAGAAATGTCAATAAACAGTTTGTCTGGAGGAGGAACAGCATGACACCTTTGGGTGGGTAGTGGGGTTAATTTTAGTACTCCAAACCAATTCATTAGAAATTTGGGGGAAGTAATTGGGGGGGGGGGGTTGGGATAGTAAAAAATTATGTAAGAATGAAACCATGAGCATTATGTCAGAAAATGGGCATCCATCTGCTTTCCTTGATCTGTTTCAGGATGAAAAATGTCACATGGGGACTTTTTACCTAAACACTTTAACATTGGCTAGAACAAATTTGCAGATCGGGAAAGTAACTATTCATCAAATATTGCAGCTCCTTGACATTTCAGCAGTTATTTATTATTATTATTATTATTATTATTATTAATAATAATAATCACTTGACTGTTGTAAAACCTCTAAGATGTTTACAAGAAATATTAAAGTTATCAATAAAACAGCTAAAACAATTCAAAGGATTTAAAAACAATCAAAATTAACAGTTAAAGAGATTAAAGCTGCCAGACATCAATAGTTCTCAGCTAAAAAAAGAAAATAAAGTCAAAACAGGTTTAAAATGTGAGAGAAAATATGGGTTTAGAAATGTGTACTTTGTGAAAAATTACGGTCAAAGATACCTATTTACATGCTGTGAATTTTTCATGCATATGCAGAGCAATGCAGAAATTGAACAGACATAAGAGTTTGAGAAGAAGGGTGGGATTTCAATTTAATAAGGACAATTAATGTTTTCCCTCCCAAAGTAAAAATGCCCTCTTTGCTTTTTTGATCTCTGGAGGACAGACCATTACAGAGCAAATAGGCTCAGCGATGGAAAATGAGACATCAACAATGCTTCATGATGTAACATGGTGCAGTTCAGATGTGGTCAGGACTACAACTCCCATAATTCCTGACTAGCAGCCATTCTGGCTGCGGCCTATGGAAGTTGGGGAGAGGGACAATAGTGAATGTCAGTTGGTGGTCAGCAATAAGAGTTGCTCCTGCTGCCCTCGCTGGTAAGCCCCTCCCCAAATCACCAGTATGCTTGACATGCATACATCACAACTAACCATTAACTCGAGGCATCTGGACTCACAACTTACGCATAATTGATTCATAATGAACTAACATGGCTGGAAGTCAGCATAATTTGAATATTATTTTTTTCATGGGGCTGTCATGAGCTGTCTTGCTCGTGATCAGCCTGGACTAGAGATATAATAGATGAAGGGCCACAGAGGCCGGATAAAAATGGCTGAGGGGCTGGATTAGACCCCCAAAACAGACTTTGGACATGTCTGATTTACTGAAAGCTATACAGTATCTATAAATTTAACTTTTTTCTCAGTTTCTCTAATCTAATGTCTAGCTTGCTACATTTCTACATCACTTTACATTTTTTTTAAAAAAAGTCTTTGTGAAAATGCACAGCATTTTAATGCATATATCTCCCAAAATACATACTTTTGTGTGCTAAATAAGCAGTTTTTGAAAGCAACTTCCTGCAATATAATGCATTTTTGCATGCTAGTTACTCAAACATACAGTTTTAAAAAACACATTCTCCTGAAAAATGCATTTTTGGGTTGGAGAAATGTGTTGCAATATTTGGAAACAAATTGTGGAACTGTAGGGTGACTGGCAACACTGTGTTGTGTTGTGTTGTTGTGTTGTATTGTGTTGTGTTGTGTGTATGCAGGTGCACATGTCCCAACATTGTTGATGGATCTCGCATCAAGAAACAAGCAAACACAGAGTCAGAAGATTCTCTGCAGACAGAACCTCTGAGGAATCAAAGCAAAGTCAAAAGATGTCAGACAAACATAAATTCCCATGAAGGCTTGTTTGCAGAGCAAAGATTGCATCTGTTTTGATCAATCCATCAGTTAAATCCACATGAATTTCCATTTGAATAAAACAAGAGTGTTGTGGGGGGAGAGGTGCATTTGTTTTGTACCACCTTAGAGAAGCTGTTCTATGTCTTCCAAGACAGCAGCTGCCAGCTATGACGTTTACAAATTCTTATATTATAGATAAGTAGTGTTTTTTTTAAAAGCAACCCACAAACTACCACTGCTGCCCTATTCACCAACCAAACAGGTTTTAAACCAATTACTGTAACCAGTCAATCAACTAAACCATCCCTGGTTTGCACACCTCCAATAGATCTGTAAAAGGAGTAAGCTTTTCCCGAGAAGGGATCTGAACAGTGTCAAAGAAGAGATGGGGGGGGGGGGAATGCGCTCAGAATTTGCCAACATAAGCCTCAAAATCCTGCCACTCTCCCCAATTGCTTTGACAATAAGTCAGCCAATTCCGTTAGCAGAGCTGGCAGCATTTCTCATAAAGGGCTGCTAAAGGGAAGACACAACGACTTTATCAGTGTTGTTTTAGGCATAGAGTTTTTCCTGCCCCCTCGTCTTCTGAGTGACTTAAAACTGAATCTACAGCACTTGTGTTCTTTGTAGGCCAGGAAGTCATGGGAGTGGGGGCAGCGCTTTCCCCTGCCTTGTCTGTCAGAAAGATTTAGTCATGGTGTGGCCCAAACATGGAGGACCACCTCCACGGATGTCTGAAATCAATGAGCTTTGGCGGGCTTCACTTTGGAGTTGGATTGTGAGCTGTAAAAAGACCCCGGTTCAAGTCTCATCTTGCTAGGTGACCTTTAGCTGGTCCCCCCCCCAGCTCCAGCTCCAAACTGGTCTAATTTTCCAAGTTTACGTTTAATACTACCTTACAGGTTGGAAAGGGATGCGGGTGGCACTGTGGGTTAAACCACAGAGCCTAGGACTTGCCGATCAGAAGGTCGGCGGTTCAAATCCCCGCCAC